TCAAAATCATAGCTAGTTTAATCTTATCACAGAGCGCTATAGAACGTCCACAAAACTGTTTTCAGAAAGCGTTTACACAATATTGATATCAAACATTTGATCTACTGATTTGTTTTATTTTATGGTTCAAGGTAGAAGAACATTTCACTTTCCTAAATATAATCCCAAATATATAGACTAATACTATTTAAAGGTCCCATGACATGCTGCTTTTTAGATGCTTTTATATAGGCCTAAGTGGTCCCTAGTACTGTATTTGAAGTCTCTTTCCCGAAATTCAGCCTATTTAGGGAACTGAAAATGTTCTTCAATCATAAAATAAAAGTGAATTTATTGAATATAATGAAATATAGGCCAACGCAGTATTTAACCTTAATGCCACATAAATAACCCAAATCCAACGTATGTGGTGACAAACAAAGTATTTCTTAATTAATTAATTAATTACACAAACCCGAGTTTGGTGCGGATTTGCCGTGCCGTTATGGAGATATGGCCGTTCAAAGTTTCAATGGTTTTCCATAGACTTAAGCTTTAAAGTGTTTCATCCAGGTCGCCAGCAGCAAACAATGGAGCGCACTCTGCTGGACAAACTAAGTAATTACACCATTTCAAGCATTTTATCTGCGTTATAAGTGTGGAAGTCGTGGCCTAATGGTTAGAGAGTCGGTTGCAGGTTCGAGTCTCGTACCGGCAGGGATTGTAGGTGGGGGGAGTGTACAGCGCTCTCTTCCACCTTCAATACCACGACTGAGGTGCCCTTGAGCAAGGCACTGAACCCCCAACTGCTCCCCAGGCGGTGTGTGTTCACTGCTGTGTGTGTGCACTTTGGATGGGTTAAATGCAGAGCACTAATTCCGAGTATTGTCATTTGCACTTGTATATTGTTGCTCTTTTGTTTGTTTTGACTGCTTTTATTGTCCTCATTTGTAAGTCGCTTTGGATAAAAGCGTCTGCTAAATGACTAAATGTAAATGTAAATGAAATATTGCTACTGTTTTACTGAAATATTGCTACTGTGTATAAGAGCGGATGATTTGCTGCACATGCGTGCCTGTCGGCCGTCACGAGAACGTGCCTCGTCTTCCATCATGTCTGGCTTTTTAGTGTTCCTAATATTCCTTGATGCGTTGCATGCTTGAAACACGTGTATTAGGGATTATCATTTTATATAAAATATCCATAACCTGATTTGATAATGTCTAATAAAAAGTTTACGAAAAAATAAATAAATAAAAAATAGCTGGCGAAGAGTTTGGCAGAAAGTTACATTTGTAGACATTTTCAATACAGCACACTAGTGTTAATCAAAATCCTGCATCGTCAACAGTAGATGGCGCTGGTTCACTTTTTAAAAAAATATATCACACTTCGAGAAACGGTATCAAAAAAATATTTATAGTTCTAAAAGTTATTTATGGTTGTGTTACAGTTGGAGAAAAATCTTACACTCAACCCTGGGCTTGTTTATTTTTTGATAATGCTTTAAAGCAATGTTTCTCAAATTTGAACAAAACAGAACACTTAGGCTACGTCCACACGAAGCCAGAGCTTTCCCTATCTGATCTTTTTTTCCCTCTCGTCTCAAGAAATATCTGTGTCCACACGAAACCACAAAACCGACACAAAACGATGTAGTATACATGCCAGACCAGTATGTGGCGCTGTAATTCTGCCACAGAGATACACTAAAAACGGAGAAGAAGACTTGGACTATGCGCATAAACCTTGTGCGCGGTATACAAACGAACATGGAACAATTCATGGGTTTCAGTCACGTGACCTTTTTGTTGCGGCCGCCATCTTTAGGACCTTGCGTAGCCTCTCCTTGGCGATCAGAAACCAAAATAACACTTAAACAACAACGGAAAACAATGGTATTAAAAAAAAAAGACTTTAGGATTAGATCCTTATTTACTGTAAAGCGAACTGCTGACTCCACTAAAGTCTAGTGAAAACTTACCAATTTGACGTTTGCTGGCTATTTACATCTACCTCGTACACAATCCCTCTCCGTACACTCGGGCCATTTTCAGTTAAATTTTCACCTGCTAGAGACTTGTCCATTGGCCCGGATCCATCTGCAACACCAGGCCTGGATGCTTGCATACTCACTTTCAGATTCTGGGCCGAATCAACCGGACCAGATGCGACAGCCTTAACTTGCCGACACTGCGGCATTCAAGCCGGACTCAGCCCGTTGCGCAGCACGCCAGACTTGGCACAGTTGCATTTCTATATCTACTGTACTGTTCATTAATATTTCATGCATTAAATGCAGTTCTTCTATGGAAAAGACAACTTTAATAACCTGACAACAAACAAATATTTATTATACATCATAATTAAGTCTATATATGTATTGTCAACACTTCAGTATGGCCTAATAACATAAAGTATGTTTTGTTTTCTCAGACCTGATATATACAATGGACAATATTATTAGAATTACTTTTTCAAAAATGTGTGAACTTGGATTATTATCGATTAATAGAAAAAAAACTCATTATGGGGATGAATTAAAAATACCATTTTTTAAGTCATCTTTTTGTTTTGATAAAACATTAGTCGATAGTTTTAAAAGGCTGAAATCTATACCTGGTCCACTAGTTATTGAAAATGGTGAGATTATGTCTAGTAATGACAGATGTTCACCAGACAGGTTTCCCTGTTACATTTTAGTTTGGTCGTCAGATATTGAGAAAGGTTGGATCAGCAGAGGACTAGGGTTCTATTACAGGTCTGGCACTATAATAACAGCCAAACATGTTGTAGAAGGTTTCGAAAAAATCTATATTTATGTCCTTTTCCCAACTCACGAATATTGTTTAATATATAATGGCCATAGAGTCTTCCCAGAAAACTGTCCCATACCGTTAAACCACGATATTGCTTTAATTGAATTACAAGGATGTTTCGACCCATTACAGAATATAAAATCAGAAATAGGCAAGTTAGGTGAAAATAAAGAGCTATATTTTTATACATTAGAGTTAGGGTGTTTTGTAAGAAAGTACTGTTGTACGAAAGTACCAAATTCTAATATGAAAAAGCAAATGTTGGCCAATGAATTTGTTATTTCTAAAGCAGGCAAAAAGGGAGATAGTGGAACTCCTATTTATTCAGACTCTGGGAAATGTGTTGGACTATATATTGCCGTTTTCACAGCAACAAACCCAAAAAACCCTTTGGAATATGGCAGAGGTTTACAATTTGATAGAATTTTTCATTATTAAACACATCTCATGATTTTACTGTTTTTATATTTTCTAATAATAAATAAATAAATAACATTAAATAGAATTTAATGTTATTTAATTAAGAATTGTTCATTATTCAAGAACAAATACCATAATGGATTTTTAATACAATTTTATTTTAATAAAAATAATAAATTGAAAAGTAATAACAAAACAAAAACAAATTGTAAATATAGAAATGTTAAAAGTGTTTCTCAATCTTGCTCCTTGCACCCCACAGCCCCCCCAATGAGCTGATGTGTAAAATCTGGTGTGGTGGACAGGGTTATTATCATTAACTAAAACCAAAAAAAAAAAAATGTGTTACTTCAAACAAAAGCATTAACTGAAACTAAATATAAAAACTTAATATTATTTTGTTTGAACTAGTTGGACTAAATAAACTAATATGAATAAATAAAAATGACTGATAACAAAATGGAAACTAATAAAAAAAAAAAACGAATAAAATTATAAAAATGACAAAAAAGTTACTAAAACTTTAACTGAAATTAAAGTGACAATATAAAAATAAAATCTAATTCAAAATATTAACAAAAACTATAACAGTATCATGGATACTAAAATAACACTGGTGTTGGACAGGGAAGAGATCAAGAATGTGAACTGTTTGGGAGTGGGAGTGGAGGTGGCAGGGTTGGGTGGGAAAACCACAGGACAGGGCAGACGGGGCAGGATTGAGAAACATTTCAATACATCGACAAACATTTGTCAGTGAGAAATAATTGGCATGGTTACACTTACACTCATAATATTGTCCATTGTTTGGCAACTACCCGAAGAGAGATCTTGTGTCTTGCCCACAACAAACCCTTGTAAGTTTGTTTGCACAATAATTTAAAAAGGTAAAACAAAGTAGATGAAATTATCAAAATGACACATTCTAACTGTAATTTAAGAGTATGCTGGGCTGGAGCATGTGGAACCTACATAAAGGTTGTACAGGAATAATCCTGCTTTGGTAAGGAAACATTTTTAAAAATGTTATTTAACACTTCAACTGTTCACTAATTGTTCTGATAGTGTTCATTTGGTGTGAAAACAGATTATACTGAAATTATACAGATTGTACTAGAGGATTGTTCTTTTTTCTTTATACTAACAGAAAAATGATAAAGAAATGCAAAGATCTGTTTCAAGATATATCTTTTTCTCTCTTTCTCCCTTCAGGCTGCATACTTCACTTTTGGGTCAAGTTACACTCAGATGATCTCTCTTCGTTAAATGACATCACATACCTGCTGTAATAAAATTTAAGCAAGTCAAATCAAAGCAACAATTTGACTTGCAAGCAATGCCAGCTGCCAGGAGAGCTAATGTGTCTTCTTGACCAAGACAACAGTAAGACTTTCAATTAAATATTGCATTTTATATATATATATATATATATATATACAGTGGGTACGGAAAGTATTCAGACCCCCTTCAATTTTTCACTCTGAATGAAATGTTATTTATTTTACTTATTGCAATATAATTTTATTGCAATAAGTAAAATAAATAACATCTCATTATATATATTTATATATATTAAATTGCGTAGTAATACAATTATTTTTGTTGAGTCTATGTTAAAGCTATCAGTATGTCATCAATCATCTGAAACTTTGCAAAGATAAATTATATAAAATATATTTTTTTAATTTATATTTACAGAAACAAAACTGTGAATACTAAGAACCAATCTCTCTCTCTCTCTCTCTCTCTCTCTCTCTCTCTCTCTTCACACCACCTCCATGACACCCCCTGCATGTTAAGTCCATGAGACCATAGGGTGTCCCATTGGTCATTTTAGCTCTCAGAAGGGTGCTCGCGAGTGTCCCCTTTTCTACTGTCCGCACTTCTACCCAGCCCGCACTGAGGCGAGCTCCGCAACAGACTTCTACCCATCAGTCAAAGTGGCATTACGTCACGAAGGTGTGGACTCAGAGGAAGGCAGTGAGAGTTTAGGGTGTGATTTGGGACAGGGCCATTGAACATGTTCATGCACAAATGCGGCAGTCTCTTCCTGCAATGTTTAATGGTTAAAGGGATAGTTCAACCAAAAATGAATTAAGTACTCACCCTCATGTCGTTTCAAACCCGTAAGACCTTCGTTCATCTTCGGAACACA